TTTTTGTAAGCTCTTAATAACTCTCTCTCTCAAAAAAAAAAAAAAAAAAGTTTAGGGCTAGCCTGTGACATGGTGGTTAAGGTGGCTGGATTCCACATGGCCACTGCATGATTTAGTCTTGGACCAGTAGCTTGATCAACACACTGGGTATGTGTGCATACATGGTCAAAATCCCAAGAGGAGACTGGAGGAGAAGGGATTTTGGTTTGGCCATCCCCAGGGGGCTAGAGGGGGTTTCACTCTCTATCTCTCCCTCTCTGTCTCTTTCCATTGAGTGCAGATTTTTAAAAAAATGTTCAAAGAAGAAAAGGATAGTTTTATGGAAATACAATTTTATACCTAGATCCTCAAGTGTATGATGTATTGAGTCGTCGGAAAAGTCATGATGTATTTTTGCATAGAAAAACAGAAAAATACGTCATGACTTTTCCAACAACCCAATATTTAAGAGGGCCCACATGTATTTACAGATCTATGTGCCAATGACATAAACACACACATCCTGGTCAATTTCTTCCCACATATTTTTGAGTTAAAATTATAATCTCTACCTTGAGTTTTTCCTTTTCTTTTCTTTCTTTCTTTCTTTTTTTTTTTCTTTTTTCTTTTTTTTTTTTTTAACCTCTATGCCCCTAGAAGTGCAGATTCCCTGCTCAGGGGTAGAAGGACTACAGAAAGACAAGAGAGACATTGAGAGACACTGAGAATCAGGCTGAGTGGCATCCTTCCAGTCCTGTCCTGACTAATTCTTCTGCCCCTTGGAGACAAGTCTCCTTGTCATGAACTTTTAAACCTGGCCTCCCCACTATACAGCAGTCTGTGGAAGGAGGAAACAGGACTCCTATTTCTTGTCACTCCCATCAGCACCCGACTCACATTCCAGACATGGACCCAGCTCCTGCCCATGTTGGTTTGGCCTCTGGAGGACACTGGGTACACAGGTGGGGACCATTCTCCAGCTGGCTTCCAGCTGCCACATCAAGGCAGAGGGAAGGGCCAGACATGTGGTCAGCCCCAGTTTTGAAGACTGCCTTCTGTTCTGATGGACCCTCCCAACCCTGTTCCTCATGGCTTCTGGGCCAGTGAATGCTTTAGGAGAACCCACATTGCCAAACAGGAAAGTACACAATGGTGTGCATTTGAGTTGCAGAGGGGAAACTGAAGCAAATAGAGATATATTAATTCATAAATCAAACAGGCAGATTTGGGGTTAGCCAGATATTTTACTTTGGAAGGACTTTGTGAATCTATTTGGAAGGGCAGAATATTATTTAATTTTTGGCTCAGTGTCGTGAAGTTTTGTTTTTGTAAGGAAAACAAGGCTGGTGTGGCCTCTACACTGGCCTTCTCTGCTCCAATCTTTCTGGACTGTGAACACCATCTTGGGTGGCCAGTCCTGGTAGACCACTCGTGGGTGACACCTGGGTGAGGAAATGGCACAGGTACTTGTTATGGATGGAGGGGTGTTCTAGGCCCCAAAACACCAGCTACACTTGTTCTGGCCACCCTGTTTGTGCTCCTCACCTCTGTCTGAAATTGAGCAAGGCCCCCCATTTTTTTTTTGTAAGTGTTTTTGCTATAGGACTTGTGTACTCATCAGAGAGAGACAGAGAAGGAAAAGTGAGAATTCACACCCCTGGCAGGGACAATGGACAAACCACAATCCTTCCTCCTCCTTTCTCCTCTCAGGACATGGGGCACATATGCATATGTATCCAGTGTGACTTTTAAGCCATTGGGTTTGGGATTCGAACTGCACAGTCAGCCATGTGGGATCTAGCACATTAACCTCCATGCTACCTGCTGGCCCCAAGACTAGAATATTTTAAGGAGCTTGCCTTTCTTCTTGTCCTACAAAGACCCCCCCAGGCCTTAGCTTACAGTGCACATTAGAAGCCTCAAGATGATCAAAGATGGAGCAAACTAGCAGTGTAGTCATGGTGGTGTTTACAGTGTTAGTAACAGCGATGGCAAACACATGGGGCTTGTGATAGGCCGCACATTGCTCTGAGTGCTGTCCTTAACCAGTGCTGTCATCATTCCCACTTGCCAATTAGGAAACTAAGGCACAGAAAGGGTTAGTGACTTCCTGAGGTCACATGGCATGATTGCAGGGAATTCAAACCCAGTTTGTCAAGCTCTAGAGCCCAGGCTCTTCAATACTATGCCATATTGCTGCTCTGCTGTGAGTGTGTTACTTCTAAGCCATGCAAGAGGCACAGGGCACACAAAGCCAGAGAGATTTCGGAGGAAAGAGCATGCTGAGGCCACAGAAAAATGGCAGAACTCAGACTCTATTGTCACTTTCTGACTATCAAACTTTACTCTGCTTTGATGATCAGGTTCCAAGCTCAGGCCGTTTCAGGGTAAGGAAGGAGTTGGTGGGCTCTATGTGCAGAAGCTCCCAGTAGTACCCAGTTTTGTGGGCCAGGCCTGCTTATGACATGTTATGTCTAAATCAAGTCAAGCCATTTTTGAGCCAGGAAAGGGTGGATATTACTATTTAAAGGGATCCCTTTTGCCTTTTTCCCACCTCAGGCCAAGGTTTCCTCCCTAGTTTACCTTCTGTGTTAATGAAGCAGTAGCACATGAGGCCAAATTGATTCAGGAAGAATCAATAGCGCAGTCCTGGCAGATATGCCTTATGCCCTACAGTTAAGCTGTTACAACCTGCCTATTGGAGTTAATGTAGAGGAAGTGGTCCCTGGGGCCTCTGAGAGCCTGGCTTGGTGCCGAGGATGCTGCCGCTAAGTGAGACACAGAAGTGGATGCAGAATCTTGAACGAAAGTGTCTGGGGATCTTGCCAGCTGTTCGTTTCCACTGCAGACTTGGAAACAACCACTTGCCTCCTGAGTTGGGTGGCCTCAGCTCCGTGGCTAACTGCTAAGGGACTCCATGTTTTGTCATCCCTGGCAGTAGTCTGGAGGGGCCGTTGATCCATCTGAGCTCTGATTTCATGTCTGACTTGAAGGGCCAGATCTAAGGTCCTTTAAGGAGGAATAGAACAGAGTGCAGTAGGGGTGGGGACTGCTTCCTAATAAAGTTTTTCTTTAAATAAGAATAGAGTCAAGAATTAGAATACATAGTGGGACAACCAAATGGAGGAGGACAAATGAAGCTCACAGAATATGTGCGCTCATGTGTGTGTGTGTGTGTGTGTGTGTGTGTGAAAGAGAGAGAGAGAATTCTATTTAACAATCATTTATTGAGCATCTACTCCTTTCTGGGCTAAGTGCAACTTGAGATAGGAAAGAG